GGGCGCAAGTGAGGGGCAAGGTAAAATTTTTCAGGGGGAAATTATGCTGGAGTGGCCTGAAGTGGGCGTGGTTGGACATAGCTTAAAATATCTTGAAAGTAGTCTAGGGGCAAAGCTTCTGAAAAATATAATTTAGGGGTTTCAGAAGTTTATGTATTTAATCGATTTTATAGATAGATAATCTACTAATATGTAGAAAATACATATAATTGTTTTTTTCTCCCCAACGAATTGTAGTTTTTCTTCTTTTTTTTGGGGGGGGGAGGGGAAACTGGGAGAAAGAAATTACCACCCAGCTTGCACTGCCACTGTTTAACATTTGTGAAACATTTGTTGTTGGTATGATCAATTTATGCAAAGATTTAAAATAATAACAATACGAATAACAGAAAATATGAAATATGCCATGCATGTTGAATTTTAAAGAGTTGCATTATGATTTTTCTACACCATTTAATAGCAACAGTAACATATTTAAAAAACACTAGAAGCAGATGGCTTTTAATTTTATCTGTAACCTTCTTAAAAGCATCTGATTGTGTTATTCTCATATCTCCTTACAAAATAAACAACTTACCAGGCTGCCCCGCTCTTGGGCTGAGCGAGTTTCCCTCAGCTTGTACACACGCCCACAGACCGATACCTCACGCCATACACCAGGCTTTGCATTACCATCAAACCCACCGATAGGCTTCATTATTAGAATGCCGTTGGTTGTTAGGCCATCCATTCCTTCCTCTGTTCGCCATTTGCAAGCTTTTTCCTATAAAAAAAAAAAAATTTAATGTACAAATATAGTCATGATGTGCCTATATATGGTCATGATGTGATGTCATCATGACCATAATTAGGCATGTCACATGTTTTTGTCAAATAGAATTTGAAAGTCTGGACAGGGCTTTAACATTTTATACATTGTTCAGCAAACATTATTTTTTGAAAGATTATCACAGGAGCTAAGCTTAAAAAGCAGAGAGCACTTACAAACAATAATATAATAACTGAAACTCTGTCCAGATAATAAAATTTACAAAAAACTGTTGTATGCCCATATTTAGTCATGATGTGCCTATATATCATCATGACCATAATAATTTAGGCATATCACTTGTTTTTGTCGAATAATATTTGATAATCTGGACAAGCTTTACAAATATACTATCAAAATATAGTACAATATTTAAATTTTATTATAATATTAACTCAGCTTAGCATATATAGTACTTATCAATGCTTCATACCCCTAGAAATATATTCTTAGCATTATTAAAACCAGCGGCATATATCCTCGCTGTGTACGGTGGATCCCTCTGAACCATAATTCGGCACGCAAATCGTGAGATTGTGCTCTCTGTGACAGTACAGTCTTCTAACGTGCATGCTCCGGGTACAGTATCCATTACGACAAAGTCAATGACTGGTTCTGTTGACCGCCCAACCTGGGAGAAAACAACAAATACCAAGGAAATAAATAAACTGTACATGTATTGTTACATTTTTTTTTCTCAATTTGCTTTTAGCCTGTGATAAACAACAAAAATAAAGAAGTTAAAGTTCCTCCTATGTATGCAACCTCCATTTTGTGTGTTTATTTCATTTTTACATAAAATCCATAAATACATTTTTATAAAAGCACATACTGATACCACATGTTAAAGCTTGAACTGAAAAACATCTTGGTTTGGTTTATTGTTTGGTGAATTAATTATTTCTGGAACAAATTATTTTTCCCTCTGGTAAATGCTTATACACCGATTATTAGCCCAATTTAATGAAATACTGGTAGTCTCCAAGGAACTTAGTAGACTGGGGCAACATGGCTAACAATCTGCCCAAAGACACACAAATATCTAGAATAAGAATTGAACTCCAGACTTATGTTGTAATCCTGAATTGTAATACTCCACCACAGGAGTAGGTTCAGTTTTAGCGGGCTACATTAATTTATATATTCTCACTATATTATACAATCAAGCTCAAAGAGCTTAATCACCAAGGCTGCATGATTCAAGTCCAACTATTATTATATAATTATATATTACCGTATATTCTCGTGTATAAGACGAGTCTTAAAATAGCAAATTGTGATACCAACACACTTCCTGTCTCTTATACACATCTAGATGTGTATAAGAGACAGCTACGTCGTACAACCGTTGCACAGCGAATCCAACTCAGCCACCTGAGAGTGCCGCCTGCTGATTGCTGGTGGCAGTCTGAACGAATCGTCATTAAATACGCCCGAAAAACAAATATCATCAAAAATCCTCTCAAACTCGGGGGTTTTCTTATACGTGGATGATGTTAATATATGTGAGAATATACGGCATATGTATTGCTAGTTCATTTAGTAACATAAAAAAAAAAATTTAATCATCTTTCATGTGTTTCTAAGGTCTAATGCATACTTTCTTTTCCACATTAGCGACTCCCTAGAATATTCTGATATAAGCTACTGACACCTCTCTTCAACTCACCTGAATATTTTAACCAACACACTTCCTGTCTCTTATACACATCTAGATGTGTATAAGAGACAGCTACGTCGTACAACCGTTGCACAGCGAATCCAACTCAGCCACCTGAGAGTGCCGCCTGCTGATTGCTGGTGGCAGTCTGAACGAATCGTCATTAAAAATGCCCGAAAAACAAATATCATCAAAAATCCTCTCAAACTCGGGGGTTTTCTTATACGTGGATGATGTTAATATATGTGAGAATATACGGCATATGTATTGCTAGTTCATTTAGTAACATAAATAAAAAATTTAATCATTTTTCATGTGTTTCTAAGGTCTAATGCATACTTTCTTTTCCACATTAGCGACTCCCTAGAATATTCTGATATAAGCTACTGACACCTCTCTTCAACTCACCTGAAACATGTCAACCTCTGGGTCAACTTTGTATTCCACAACAACAGTTTTATTTCGTGATAATGTGTAGGATATACTATGTTGTGATTCATTTTGCACTACCTGAAAAAAACAAACAATACCTTAGATCAAAGATCAAACTCGAAATGAAATGTTAAACAATGTACATATTAGGCAGAAATTAAATTTAGGCCATCATCATCATTATTATTTTATAGGATTTACTGTATATAACACACATAACCAGGAAACTGCTGATGGTGCTTTTTTCCCTATAGTCATTGCATACAGAATCTATCATACACAGTGTGCAAACCTCCTCAGCTCCCTGGTAAGTATTCCTACAGTATTTATGTATTTTAATCAGCAATACTAATTTCATTCCAAATAATTCACCTCCTACTGGTAGGCCTACCAATTTATACTCCTGGGTGAAGATAAGCAAGCAGATAAAGTGTCTTGCCCACAGACACAAGCAGTGTGATAAGCATCGGTCTCGAACCCCAGACCTTCTGATTGAAAGTTCGGCGCCTTACACGATGCGCCACATGCTTCTACAGTACAAAACCATCACAACTAATCATGTTACTATTCATGTAAAGGTAATTATTCCAGCATAATATTTTTGTATAAAGTTTTTAAACCCATATTTAATCAGTAGTGTCTCGTTTAGGTATTGTATCAACTGACACTGAATCTACTTGTACAGTAACTCAACATTCACCTGAAGAAGACCACTGCTTGGTCGAAAGCTTGTGATTAAATAAACTTGAAAAGTGCTGTTTGTCCTTCATATATTGTTATCATCTAGACTAACACGGCTACCCCATCTTCTACATCACAGATTTTAAATGATAACTTTGTCTACAGTTGACCCAGTTATTGATGTATTGTTTGCCATAATGCCTCCTTATTTATACAAAAGATTGTTTTTAACTACTCTATATTTACACTGTAAGGTCTCTGTTCAAAAAATATTACCTTTTAAAGTTATATAAAACAATTTACCTGAAGGTAAAAAAAAACCAGTGCTCAAGGGGATGGAACAAAAAAAACCCCCAACGGAACCTCCACAAAACTTATGATGAACTTAAAACCATTCAACCCAGTTAGACACGACTATAAACCATAGTGCATACCTCAAAGCCTATCAGAATCATAGCAAATACTGTAAATTATACACAAATTTAACTTTGCAAACATTAAGTTCAAAAGTATCAAAGTCAGTTTAGCAAGTAACTTTAGTATTCTCATAAACAACAGACCGCAGATGTGTCTGAAGGGCAGTCTCTCATTACTAAACTAGCTCGTTAATTAAGGACCAGATAGATCAGTATCACAACAACTTTGTTTTCGCAACTTTTTATACCAACAATGGAACAAAGAGCGAAATCACCAAGTATTGCTTTTGTTGTTATGCCTGACTAAATTTAAAATTTTTGGCTTTCTGGATTATGGGTATGGTGATTCTGTAAGTTTGTCGTGCAAATTATAGTAATACTGTATCCCTAAGCTATGATACATGATTATTGTAGTTTAGATACTACTACAAATAAATTAATTTGTTAGTTTAGATAGTTGTTCTTACTACTATTATGAATATCATTGGTAGATTCTGGGGAGGGAGGAAGGGGTCACAGCCAGCCTGGGAACACCTAAATTTTTCAGATTTATATAAAAAAATTATCTTATACACATCTACAGCCAGCCTGGGAAAACCTAAATTTTTATAAAATTATATTTAAATAATTTTTATATAAAAAAAATGGAGGGGGAAAAAAATTATATTTGAAGTCTGAGAGTGCCATTTCTGGCCATCTAGCGATTGGGGGGGGGGCATCATATTTTTTATGGTGGGGCTGGCTGAGGTGGTCTGACCCTCCATCTGTCAAAATTCCCCCCTGCTACTTAAAATTTCTGGATCTGCCATTGCCCATGATGTGTATCTTGTTCAGCTCAATAATATTTAAAATTTGTGTAAAAAAAAACACCAATTTTGACATGATATTTTAACCAACACACTTCTGTGACTTTTAGTGGTTGTGCTAACTTAATTGTTTGCACTGCAGTAAGAGCCTATTGTCATTAGTTTTAAATGGTTAAATTTAACATTATTTATTTTGTTTGTTTTTACTTGTTTAGTATAATTTACAATTTTTATATTTAGGCTTACTGTATAAAGTGAAAATTTTTAAATTGAGATTTTAATACTATTTTATTATTATTTTTTTCAATTTTACTACTGTCTGATTGATAACTTTGTAAATTGTATTTGAATTTTTAAAATAATTATCTATATTTCCATAGCTACCTATGGATGTTTAGGATGTTGGAGTTGGAAGGGCACAAAAAATGAATCTATTTGATTTGTGTTATTTAGGTTAAAGATCACATTTAATGAGAAGAAAGAAGAAATTCAATATAAATATATAAATTCATATCAGCTGAAGACACAGCTGCTGGGCGATGTACACAGTATGAGAAGACTTCATGGGGCTGCCTATCATATAGTTTTACTTTATTGTTTTGGCAAAATCAGGGAAATCATTCAACTGTTAATGTCAGCAGAGTTGAATGATTTAATATGCAAATGAACGCACCTTTGGAAAACTACACAATGTACAGCTGAATGAAGATGCTTCAAGGTCAAACCATTATCAGTAACTGACTACTAATTATGTATCAAAGATGTATAATAAAGTATTAAGAAATATAAAACAATACATTTTTCTCAAACATGTATTATCACCCTTTAAAATATGAGAATGCATCAAAATTAAAAGATCATAATTTTGAGAGGTTTACAGTTCGCTTTGACAATTAACATTTGATTGAATAAATTTTTACGCACCTGAGCGGTTTGCGATGAGTTAATTTCATAATGTGTGGACGGTTGAACACCATTACCAGTTGTTCTTTTTTCCAGCTGGAACGAGCTGCGCCGACGACCTCTGTTACCCGAAGGCAGGCAGCCATTGTACCTGAAAAGACACAAAGGTTCATAATTGTGATTTTGGATATTGTAATTTCGTTCTCAGGATTATCTATACAAATTCCATGAGTATTCCCATTCAGTGGTGAAAAAAAAAATTTCATTTCCCAATTGGGCCCCAAAAAAAATCATGCTAAAGTAGTTCAAAATCACCTCAAATCACCCTATTTCGCGAGATAGCGCCCTCTTACCTAATCATCGAGCCCCCCCCAACTTTACCTTCGCACTCCCATCGGCCCCTCTGATACAGTATATGCATAATTGCTCATTTGTCATCTGACGTTGCATATCAAAATGGCAACATTTTTTTTTTCATAATCATTTTCAAATGGTACAACCTCCCACATCTGTTGTATAGCATCATTGTGTTTTGCAATTTGTAATTTTCCATATAAACCTACTGTATATCTTTATACAACAGATACTTATATCCATATTGAATATTAAATATTGGTTAATTAACAAGCTCTCATTAAAATACAATTGTCACTTCACCAACAAATGGTTGGAAACATTTATTATTTTATAGTTTATTCAACATTCATCACTTCACAGTATTCAGTATTCTTTTATTGTTATTTGTGAACATAACATTTAAATTAAAAGAGCATTGCAAGAGTTGCCTCTAGTAGAAAATGTAATAAATAAAAATATATAATTATAAATAATATTTAATACAGGTTAACTATCCCCTGCCTGATACCATCCCGTATCTCCAAAGGAATGAAAAAATAATAAAAATAATCATTTTCCAAAATTAGTTTAAGGGCTAACAAAATAATATTAAAATTCTCTTTTACAAAAAAACAATAAAAATAATAAAATAAATTTATATAATTTAATTTATTCAAAAATTCTAAGCAATTACTTTTTTTTATAACAGGTTAACATGTGACAGTATTATTGGCCACGTTGTTTACAGAATATTTGACTGAATAAATACTGTAATTGTTGAAAGTAAGTTGACAAACAGGGTACAAAGGACAACACTATATCCTCTTTGAAGGATATGAATAATATATGGAACCATGGAATGCAAGTTGAACCTCTATAATGCTATAAGTAATACCAATCATGCTTCCCTGATCAGATTTCACAAAGGACTTGAATGATAACCTAACATTTTTTTAAAGGGGCCTAAACATACTTAAAGAAAAAAAACCAAATTATATATGAGATACTAGACTATTGATTTGACAGGCCTTGAGTTTAAATTGTAACCTACAGCTACAGGTTGTATAAATTATTCATACAAAAGCAATTTGTTCTCAAGAATTAGAAGTACATATAATTATTCTTATACTATAGACTTCAAAGAGGATACAATGTTACTCGGGCTCTCTTATATCCATTTTTGGGCTGGCTGATTTATATATTTTTTGCGATTAAACACCAAGAAAGCATGCAGATATCCAAAAATCCCATTATAAAGTGATTTTTTTTTACCTTGTTTAGCAAACCCTCTGATCACCAATAACGATGATTTCGAATAAATATAAAAACACACTTTTTCCACCTACTCTGACAATCTTTAAAAAAATAAGTTCGCGAAACAAGATTTAAAAAAAATTTTGCCTACAGTAGTCTGTTAGTAGGTCTAACAAACAGTATGCGATAATATGTATATTTGTACTGTAAATATTTGTAATTACATTGGGGCCATTTCTGTTAAAGAATAAATAATGAAAAGAGCCACAATCTCCGCTACCAATAAAACAGATGAGTGAGTTCAGTTTACACTGTGAATGATGTGCAACCATATTCCTTCCATTGCTCATTAAATTTTTGCTATTGGATTGGGTGAAATGTGAAGGTTACATGGCAAACAACATTTTGAAGATGTAACTATTTTAAGTATCTTTAAAGTTGTACTTGAATCTCAAAATTCTTCAGATACTACTCTATAGAATGTCAGTATTTAGTACAGTATACAATTTTGATTATAAATTAAAAAGTAATTAATATAAATTAATTAACTAAAATTTTTTTGTCTCGTTATAATGATATGTAATGCCTAATTTATAAACTATACTCACTAATATGCAAATGAGTTTAAATAATTTCCTATCACATTTCCATTCAACTGTAAAATTTTATGGAATTTATCAATAATAACTTGCACTACAATTAAATAAAAAAATTCTTTAAAAACAAAACAAAATACAGGTTTTTGACTAGTGAAACACAAAACCAGAGCCTTGCAGGCGTCAACGTTCCTATGCATGATACACGACTTTTAGAAGTATATATACGTGTATATATATATATATATATGTATATATATACGTATATATATACACATATACATATATATATTCATATATATATACATATATATAATTATACATATATATATATTTATATATATATACATACATATATATTGATATATATATACATATGTATGTATATATATA